TGAGAAACCAAAAATTTCTCGAATAGAGAATAGTACCATTTTGTGAACAGAGAGCAGAAATGCGTTTTCTCCTGAACCGGAAATTTAATTATGCGGGATGTTTCAACGTTCATAGCTGTGCTCTTACAAAAGTCTCGAAGGCTAAAGAGCGATTTGACCAGCTTGTATTGTGGGTTTTTGAAGTTTTTCAGTTTTTTTGCGCTTACTGTACTGAATCAAATAAAGGTACATATGTTAGGTATGGTTACGTTAAGTCTCGAACCTCATCAGAACTACAAAAAATTTTTGTTTTTGGGTGCTATGGAGTGCTAAACGAGCTTATTCGAGAAATGCTTTCCCAAGATCAAGCACAAATATCTTAGATGGCAAAAACCGCTAGTTCTAATTGCAATTTGGATCATTAATCGATTGCAAAGCAATTTATAAAAAGTCAAAGTTGCTCAAAAAATGTCAACACAAAAAAAAAGAAATCTCATACTCAGATTCAACGTGTAGTAGCTGATTTGCACAGCTCCTATGTGTATTTATTAATTCAGGCTCTGTTTTCATTTAGCACAGTAACCTCTTGCAGATATCTGGGCGATAATATATCAACTATACGTTAACAGAAAATTTTTAAAAACATTTTACTGTTTGCTTTGTCTCGTAAATTAGAGAGCTTCATTCAAACAGTCGAGGCTGAATTCACTAGTTCAAAAAATATTGAGATTTTTGCTTCTGGTAGATATTTTGTGCTTGACATTTTTTTTCAGATAGACTACTTACGACAAATCCGTTGTATTGGGTATCCCGCAGAGATGCTTATACCTGGAAAAGACTTGAAAATCGTACTACGTTATCTAGATGAGAAAGGAATAGCCAACGAACTCATTTGTAAGGTTTTTTATTTATAAATTTTAGTCGATATTTTCTCATTGAAGCATGCTACTCTTTGCAGCAAATATCACACAACAGCTTCATCGAGAGCGACGAGCGTTGATAGGCCCTGTGGACGGAGAAATAACTCTTGATCTTATCCAGAAGAAATATCTTTCTTTTGATGACGTAAGCTTTTATCAATTATGGTAACCTGTTATATTGAGTACGACAGCTCAAATGACTGGACCGTTTTACATTTTATAAAACACATCAACTTCAACATCAAGAAAAACGAAGTACTTTTTTTGTTATTTAATGTCTCATCGGTAGTTTCCAGTTAATTTGGTATCATAGTTTGGTAAATCGTCTTTTTCGATTGCTTTTGTTCTTCAGCTATTCTTTGCCCTTTAAATGAAGGTAGAATTATCGAATGGTGATCGTCAAAAAACGTTCGAAGCTTTTTTTGAGAGTAACTTTAACTGAGCGTTTTTCAAGAGAGGAAATACTATTCTTTGGCACAAATAGTTTGCTAATTGATCTGAAAGATAAAAAAAGTTTAAAAATAGTTAGAGAAGAAAGATAGAGAGAAGAAGGTTAGAAAAATTAAAT